TCACACACAGTGACCTAGACACACAGGGTGACACACACCCTCACACAGTGACCCAGACAGACAGGGTGACATACACCCTCACACAGTGACCCAGAGATACAGGGTGACACACACCCTCACACACAGTGACCTAGACACACACGGTGACCCACACCCTCACACACAGTGACCCAGACAGACAGGGTGACATACACTCTCACACACAGTGACCTAGACACACAGGGTGACACACACTCTCACACAGTGACCCTGACACACACCCTCACACAGTGACCCAGACAGACAGGGTGACACTCACCCTCACGCAGTGACCCAGAGAGACAGGGTGACACACACCTTCACACAGTGACCCAGAGAGACAGGGTGACACACACCGTCACACAGGGACCCAGAGAGACAGGGTGACACACACCCTCACACAGTGACCCAAACAGACAATGATACACACCCTCACACAGTGACCCAAACAGACAGTGATACACACCCTCACACAGTGACCCAAACAGACAGTGATACATACCCTCACACAGTGATTCCCACACAAAGTGACACACACCCTCACACAGTGACCCCCACACAGACACAGTGACACACACCCTCACACAGTGACTCCCACACAGACAGAAAGACACACCCTTACACAGACAGAGTGATCCGCTACACAGACAGAGTGACACAAACGCTCACACAGTGACCTCCACACAGAGTGATCCATTTCCACACAGAGTGACTCATGCACACAGTCACCCCCATAATGACTGAATCCTACACATATACAGCAAACTGCACACAGTGTGACCCACACATGGACAGTTTCACACACACACACAGAGTGACACATGTACTCACAGTCACATATGCACACAGAGTGATGCACATATGCAGATTGCTACAGATTGACACCCCCAACACACTGTGATACAAACACATACAGACAAACACAGATCCACTCATTGCAACACCAGAAGTTACAAACATACATGAAAAAGAAATTGAGTGATATGTACAGAAAACACATGGAGTCACACACACACTGAGGCATAGTGACAATTTCATGCACACCCTCACATAGTCTCATGTATGTTCATCAATAGGCACAAAGATAGAGTCCATCTTCCTCTTGCAAACACGTAGGGACAAATATATACAGTGACTCAAACACTGTCACACACAAGCATACTCAGTAATGCACATTCAAGATTGACATACAATCACACATGCAATCACATGCAAATACCCTCACACACAGTAATAACAGCAAAGGATAACCAAAATGTTAATAAAAACGGAAAAAAGAGAATATGGTGTAAGATGGGTTGGGATATAAAAAGATTGTAAGAACTTTTGCAAGAATGTAAAAAGGAGGAGAGCAATTAAATAAATATTGGCCTCTTAGAGGTAGAAACTAAAGAAATGATCAAGGGGTTGAGGAAGTGGCAGTAGAAAACTCAAATTACATGACAGAGAATCACGGGGTTATTATGAGTGAAGATCCAATAGTTTATATCAGCAGAGAGATTAATATTCAAGAAATTTAAGGAACTAAAATCTGACAAATCCCCAGGACCTGATAGCCTATATCTTAAGGTTCTATAAGAGATAGCTGTAGAGTTAAAGGATGCATTGGCTGTACTTTCCCAAAATTCCCCACATGTTTTACTTCCTGTTGATGGACAAATCAGACCTCAGACTGAAATCTCGCTTGGCATGATAACTTTTTTCCTTTTTTTTGTTTTTAATGAGGTGGTTTCCTACTGGAGCACAACACACAATGCTGGAGACTTGAGATCACAAGGTGTAGAACTGGATGAACACAGCAGACCAAGCAACATCAGAGGAGCAGAAAAGCTGATGTTTTGGGTTCATCCAGCTCTACACCTTGTTATCTCAAGTCTCCAGCATTGTGTGTTGTGCTCCAGTAGGAAACTTTCCGGTTCATCCATCTCTACACCTTGTTATCTCAGATTCTCCAGCATCGGCAGTTCCTACTATGCTGGAGACTTGGTTTATTTTAGTTTATTATGCAAAAGAAATGAAGATTAAATAGAATAAACCCAGCTATTTACATATTGCACAAATTTGAAGATTTAAGGCCGTAAGGAATAGGAACAGGAGGAAGCCATTCGGCCCTTGAAGCCTGTTCCACTGTTTAAGGGATCATGACTGATCCGATATGCCTCACGCCTACTTGCCTGCCCTTTCTGTATAACCCTTCATTTCCTGACTGATCAATAATCTATCTCAGCCTTAAATATACACAAAGTCCCATACCCCCTCCCAAATCTCTGTGCCAAGGAGTTCCAAAGACTTACAACCCACTGACAGAAGAAATTGTTCCTCATCTCAGTCTTAAATTGGTGTCCCTTAATTCTGAAACTATACCCTTTTGTTCTAGACCCTCCCACGAGGGGAAACATCCTCTCAGCATTTACCCTGTAAAGCCCCTTAAGACTCCTATATGTTTCAATGACATCATCTCTCATTCTTCTAAAGTTCAGGGAGTCGAGTCCCAAGCTGTTTAACTTTTGCTCTTAAAACAATCCCTCCGTAAGGGACCATACTCATGAGCCTTTTCAGAACTGCCTCCAATGAAATGATATCTTTCCTTAAATCAGGGGACCAAAACTGCTCACAGTCCTCCAGATGTGGTCTCACCAACCCCTTGTACTGTTGCAGTAAGACTTCCCTGTGCTTGTATTCCTACTCCCTTGAAATAAGGGCCAACATTCCATTAGCCTTCCTGATTACCTGCTGCATCTGTGTGCTACCTTTCTGTATTTCATGCACAAGTTCCCCCCAAGTCCCTTTGTGGTGCAGCTTTCTGAAGTCTCTTTCTATTTATATAATATTCTGTTCTTTTGTTCTCCCTTCCAAAATGAAACTTTGCATTTTCCCACATTGCACTCTGTTTACTAACATTTTGCCCCCTTATTTAACCTTTCAGTATTGCTCTGTAAATTGTTTGTATCCCTCTTGTAATCTGCCTGTCCAACCATTTTTGTATCATCTGCAAATTTGGCTAAAGGACATTAACTTCCTTTTTCCAAGTAATTTATATATATTGTAAACAGCTGCGGACGCAGCACTGAGCCCATTGGTCATGGGTCCCCAAACTGAAAATGAACCCCATATCCGCACTGGCTATTTCCTGCCCGTTAGCCAATTCCCAAAATCCATGCCAATATACTACCTCCAACACTGTGGCCTCTTATGTTACGATTTTTTTTGTGAGGTATCTTGTTGAATGCCTTCTCAAAGTCCAAATACAAGACATCTACTGTCTCTCCTCTATCTACTCCGGTTGAGACACCCTCAAAAAAACACTAATAACTTGGTCAGACATGATTTCTCATTCACGAAGCCATTGAGAAACATGCAGTAAGAAATGTTGCTATTAATCTGCAAAATCTCCCTATGCACTATTAAACAATCCTTTACAGATCCCAAAGGCATCCTCTGACAATGCTCACTCCAGAATCTCCTCCTCTATCCTGCCCATACATTTATCCTAACTCTGACTTCAGTTTAGAGAATCTGATAGCCTCTTCCTGGAGTTTTTGTACACCTGAGTTTAAACTTTTTCAGCTTCGTATATCCCCTTCAGGTATATATCTAAACATTTCTGGCCTGGAACTATTACTGAATTACTTCCTCTAAGATAAACTATTTTTAAAAATCTAACCTATCTTCTTCCCTAATGGACCGTGCCTCAATTCCTCCACAAGGGGAGCCCCATTTCCAACAAGTATCATTTAATATACCAGCCCAGCCAATCCTGCTGCTTCCTGGAGAGGTCAAATCCTATCTTACTGGTTCAAAAACTTGGAACTCCCTCCCTAACAGTATTGTGGGTATTCTTACAGTCTAAGGACTGCAGTGGTCGAAGCAGGCAGCTCACCACCATCTTCTCAAGGTAACAAGGGATGGTTAATAAATGCCAGCCTTGCCATCGATGTCCACATCCCATGAAGAAATAATGGATACTGGTTTGAGATAGGAACAGGAGGAGGCCATTCAAACCCTCGAACTTACTGTGCTATTCAGTAACGTCATGGCTGTTCTGTACTATAGCTGCACTTTGCCAGTCTCATTCCCAATCCCCTACAGAGACAAGAATGTCTTGCAATCTCAGCCTTTACAGTTTCACTCAGCCCCTGGGAACTGTGAATTTTTTGGTGAAGGTACGGAGAGGCAGGGTGTGGGGGACTTCCAGATTTCCAACCACCATGAAAAAGTGCTTCGTGATTTTGAACAAATGTTTGCTCTAAAGCACATTTCATCACACACGTGCAATGTCCTGGCGTCACTTGAATGGGTGAATTTCGAGGGGACCCTAATGAAAATGTGACTGCACTTATTTCCTTCTTCCATTGAGGATGCCGGGAGCTGGAGGCTGGGCAAACTTTCAATGTCTCTGACTCAAAAACTATTGATCATAATCTCTGCTGCAGCAGGGGAGAAAGGGATCAACTCCTGACTCCACTGGGAGTAGAGATGGATATGGAATAGATTGAGCCCTGAAGTGGCTGAGTAGAGAGTTAGATTGGCTGAATATCCATTCTGGATGTACCTGTTGCAGACAGCAGGCAGAGAGAGGAAAGCTTCAGGAACACACCGATGTATCAGAAAAGTTGATTGGTTCTAATTCAAGTTGTTTAAGAATCATAGAATCCCAACAGCGTGGAAACAGGCCATTCGGCCCAACAAGTCCACACTGCCTCTCCAAACAGCATCCCACCCAGACCCCAGAACCATTTCCCCACTCCTGATT